GATACGCACTCTTGATGCCGGATTCACCATATATGGTTGCTTTAGCATGAGAAAATCCCTTACACATCCCTATTGACATTCTTAATACCCCTTTCAACCCAAAGGTTACTAATGGCGTCTTAACCTCCATCTTGTTATCACAACTCCTTTAATGTAACCTCATCTGTGGTTGACCACATCGGTCACCTAGGTCCTTATATCTCCTAACTTGTATCTCTTACCTCCTTCCTCGATACTTAATCTTATCCGTTGATCATAAACAGAAAGGTCATCTCCTCGTTACTTCTTTCTTAATGCCGAGACCTCATACTACTGCTTTTACTTTCTGTATGCGTCAGAGGCATACATTGCATCGCATCCCTAACTTGCATTCAAATTGGTGCTTCTTTCAAGACTCATGACATTCTCCTTAGCTTGCTTGTTCACCACTGGCCGCCTAAATAATACTCCCTTATTGTTGTTTGGATTTGCAGTTCTCATACTATCCATTCCGCCACTCTTAGACCCTAGCTGAAATTCCTCATACGGTTTCCCCGTCCAACATAGTCTTACCCGAGAGATTGACACCTTTCACCAGTATAGGCAATTATTGGTTTCACTTTGGGGTATCCTAGCAGGTTCCCTAAACTTATATCCCTCTTACTTCGTTACTCTCACTCTTCTTCTTGATGTTCCTCGCTAGTTCTATATGTCCCTCGTCCTTGATGCAGTCATCTTGATGCCCATATTCTCTTCTCACTTATGTACCTTGACCGATAAGGTTTTCCCTTCGACCGTTCTGGACCACCACACTTCTACTTTAAAGTTGACCATTGAGCTTCTCCGTTCTTGATGGGCTTCCTATGGTCCAACTTATTCTCCATAGTCAATCACCTTAACGCCTCCTTGTTGACCTTCGTATTCTTTCGCCGGCTCTTCCTAACTACTTTCTTCCTGAATTTGTCGTTTTATCAACTACCACCATTTTCACCATAACTTTCATTACAGCTTGTGGTTCCCTCCTTACTTCCACAACTCCTTCATCGACGCTCGGTACTAGCTTTGATCTACTCAGTTTAGTAGCTCCTCGCCATACCTCAGAGCTAACATTTCCACTAGAAACTTTCTCTGGGTAGACCTGACAGATGACACTCACGACTTCTACTCACGATGGTGCTCGACCACGTCCCAACTATCTTCCTTCACGCATTCATTGTCCGGTCGACAACCACCCTTTTTATTTTATTTCCTATAGCGTCCTATGGTGTTCTCCTTGCTCCTTTACTTTTACTACCCTTCTGTTGATACTTGTACTATTTTCGGTCACCAACCCAGTTGAGTATCTTCTCGTTGTTGTTTTGGGTCACAGCTTCCAATAGGGGCTTGCCCTTGGTAGGCTTGAACATACCTCATCCACGTCTTTTGTCTCGACCGATGCTTATACATAACCTTAATCTCTTAATCATAGCTCTTAGCGACTTAACTAGATATCACTAATTTATCCTTAACTGGCCGTCTTTTATGGATGACATCCTACTACGTCGTACTCGCTCAGAGTGGGGCACCTTGGGTAAGGTAACTTAGTGATTTCCTTCTTCTTGGTAATGCTTTTCCTCGTCGTACCTCTTTGTGCAGCTTCTTGACCTCGAGTCACCTGATACTTGACCCATTGACTTCTTGAAATCTCGTCAAACTCCCTCTGGCCTTTTTGCTCTTCCTTGGTATTGGTCGCAAACTCTCTTCCTTACGACCGTTTAGACTCTTCCTCGAATTCTCCAACTTTCATAGAACTTCTAATGAACGTGGTACTTGCTTGTCTATACCCGGTTGATTGAATGATTTACTCCTACGGCTGGTTCCGAGACCTCAGCTCTTAGCCCTCTAGTTCCAACTTAGTAGAGAGGTTCCTCCTTCTATCACTCCTCATGTACCCTAGGAGGCTAGGTGTTCCCTCTATTTAAGAGAGGACAATCCCATAATAGATCGTCGTGAACTCTTGCATACCCCTTCCAACGGTCCCAACGTCCTCCTGACCTTTTGTGATCTGGGTAGTTTGTAGGGTCTCTACTATCCTCCTTCTAACTCGGTGTTATCTTGGTATCCCACTCACGCACTTCTGAGAAGTGGTTCTCTATTCGTACTGCCATCTACTAGCTAACTGTTATTCCCTCTCACATTCCATGTCTTTTCTTATGTATTGACCCCCCACTGTCTTCTAACAGGCATGCTTTAGACTTCGGTGGCACTTTCCTCCACGTCTCGTCCAATGGTGGTCGTACTGAGACCATAACTTTTCCTCTACATCATTTATCTCGTTGCTTGTCTTATTCCTTCTAAAGGGTTTTCATCGGCCCAACTTCCCAGGGTCATGTTGACTCTTGTCTTGTTCCCTTCAAAAGCTTGATACCGGTCCAATTCCCCAGGGTCATGTACCCTCTTCTAGATGACGTAGTTTATCTACAAGGGTCCCTTCATCGTCATATGTAAATGATTATACCTCCTCTACGCCTTGGCCTTTTGACTCTTTGACGTCCTTTCAGACCCCCTCTAACCTACTTACTTCCTCATTTACTTCATTTACACTACCCTAGCTCCTCTTGAAGTCTAAGGTTTTCACTGCTCCTTGTCACTATGTTGTAATAGCGTTGACCACTAAAGCTAGTTGAGGGACCTCTCGTGGTACCTCTTCGTTTCTTGGCTCGTCGCTTCCTCGACACTTCTTAGGGTCAAGGACCCTGAAATCCTCCCATCGTTATAGCTACTGACATCTAGTGACTGTAGCTCTTTCTTCGGAGATTCATAGTTCTCCTATTTGTTTGCTTTTGCTTATTAGATCCTCTCCTTGCTACCTAGTAGTGGAATCCTCGTACTACTCCTTCAACTCCTTCAAAATCCTAGAGGTATTCCTCTACGATTGAAACCTCTTCTATTAGAACTTTAGTTATTTACCTTAATACGATTAGAGTAGACTGAAGATCCTATAAACTCTTAAAAGAAGATCCTTGACTCGTTTTCCTTTCCTTTAAAACAAAACCTTTAAAAACTGAGACCGACATTCCAGTATTCCTTGGAAACCAAGGAACAGAGGAAAACCGGCTCTGATACCAAAATGAAACACCCTAACCCGGCCGGGTACTACTTTTACTAAAATGCCCTTGATAAATAAAGTGTTCAAACCTTAAATTGCAGCGGGAAAATTTTTCATAAATAAAATACTGAAAACACACACTTGTAGTTCAAAGTGAAGCCCTAACACGTGGGCAAATTAAACTCAAACTTTAAAATCTCAATCTGATCTCAAAATAATCTCCAGTCTGTACTCATAATCATAAATTTAAATAACTAATAATCTCTGAAGTGGTTGCTACTGAAATCTTTGACTAAGCATCATCCGTAACGCTTATACTGCTCTCCTCTAGCTGGCTGCCCTCGAACTCGCTGCTCAATACTGCTCCTCTAGCTCTTTCTCTAGCTCTTCAAACTGGTGAGTGAGATGGGGTCAGTCTACGCCCTTACGTTTTAATACTTCTACTACTTGAGTACTTTACTTAAACACTTACTTTAGCTAGTGGAAGTTGGTTGTACTTCCAATCTTAAAATCTTAACTCTTAAACTTTGAGGGAGTTAGAGTTACTCTCCTCTCTTAAAACTCAAATCTTGACTTAAATACTTGACTGACACGGGGATCCCTCACTAGCTAGTCCGGTTGCCAACTCATACGTATGAGAAGCCATTCAGGCTTTCCTTAAACTTAAACTTAGTTAGGGAAGTCGTAACGATTCATCCCCCTAACATCTTAAACTTATCGTAGTGGCTCTTCACCACGATTCTCAAGGGCATAACTGCTGCCCACCTTAAAAATCTCAAGAGCATAACTGCTGCTCTAACTCAAACTGTCTCAAAAGGCAACGGACTGGCGCTAGTGACTAAAAACACTTAAAACGACTTCACCTTCTTGAAGGTGAGTTACTTCTTTAAAAAGAACTTGCTTCTTACTCTTAATAATAACTTATACTCGTAAAAATTTCAAGGTACTTAATAAACACTCACTTCAAGCATAGCTCAAACAAAATCACCTCAAATAGCACGAAATCATCTCATACCCTAACTCAAGCAAAGCACAAACAATCAATCATACACATAACCAAGCAACGATAACCAAATCGCTAAAATACTTAAAATCATAATACTTAAAAAAATATGTAAGGCGTAGAATTTACCCCCTTTACACTCACCTTAATACTGAAGTCAAAACCTCGAGATAAGGCTGTTGTGCCCTGGTCTCCATGAAACCACATTTTTGCACGGCATCTCATCAAAACAGGCACGAGCAGACGAGATGTTCTTCACCCTTGGCATCTTTAGGAAGAGCCCGCTTCACTTCTACTTGCTTCCCGTTCAAATCATGAAATGTTTTGTGCAACACTCGATCGACCCAATCCTCCGAATCAAAGGAAATAAATCCAAACACTCGATTGGCCATAAGATCCTGCCACCATCACCTGGACTATCTACCCCCACAAGAAGGCGATCTCACCTGGACCATTTATTATCTGGCGGTGGTGAAATTGGTGATGACGATGTGATAGAAGGATGGACTTGTCCGCTTGCGAGGGGAAAGGACAAGTGCTTCCGGCGGTGAGACGCGCAAGGGAGGGTCTTGGGCGGCGGAAATTGGATGGAGTCGAGGGTTTTGGAAAACCTTGAGGGCCGAGCTCCCTCTCGGTTTATATGTATTTTTTTTTAAATAATAATATAGTTATTATTATTATTATTATTCATAAACCGCGGTTGCAACCCTTCGTACGTAACCATCGATCCAATCATTCGGTCGAACCTAACCCAAAATTCGGGATGTTACATTAAACAACTAAAGCAATCGATAAGTGCGCAACAGTGAAGTAATCTCAATTCTCCATAGAGCAGATAATAAATAAGTCAACCACAAGATCAAATGAAGGCTTCAATAGGATGTGGAGACTCAAAACTTAACTGAACCAAATTTCAAGCGCATTGTATCTGTGGAAGAAATGAAATTATTTTATGGGTTCCGCAAAACAACCCCAGTCAGACAAATCAACCTAGCTAATTCTACTGCTCTGTCCCTCTCCCAATAGGTAAAGTTGCTCTCCCATCTGTAAAGCTGCATTCCCACAACAACCCAGGGGGGGTTCGAAAGTGCCAAGCAAGGATATATATTCTCGTTGATAGCAAACTTGTCATACAACTGTGAAACTTTAGGAGGCTTCAAATACTAGGGATTATGAGGCAGAGGGAACTATTAATGTCATTTCAGACCATCCATAAGAAATTTACTGGCAGCTGGACAAACTACAAAAGCAGAACTATTGATATATTTACATAAACATCATACAACCACCATTGCGATCAAATATACCTGTGGGTCCTTGATTGTTTCCACAAGCAAAGCCTGAAAAGACGATGTTGCTTCCTTCCTCCTAACTTTTTGTCGCACCCTCTCCATTTCTTTTTCCTCTCTTTCTTTTCGTTTTCGCAACTCCCGCTCCCTTTCTTTCAGTCTCTCCTGAAAAATGACTCAAATGAAAAGTGGATTTGTAAGGCTGTTATTCAACGAAGAAAAAATTTAAGGCAGTTACCTATACGATGAGTGAAAAGGTAGCCACTAGTGTGTAGTGACACCAAATTCAACACTATCAAGTTTTCAAAACTTGAGCAAATAAAAATACCCCAAATCTTTATTGCAGTCTAAAGAGAATGCATACCATCACAGAAGTATGTATGCCATTGCCCCATCTAACATGGTCTTTCGGTTATTTGCTGAATGACATTTAAAAGCAAATTCCTATCCATTAATAAACAGAACCTTTCGAAGCGGATGATAGCAGCTGCCATTAAATGGCTATATACACTGCTGAAATGCTGTCATACTTCAGCATTCAAACTGTGGCATCCTAATGTCTATCTATCATACTATCTTAATCCCCGCTAGGGAAAGCACATCAAAGAAATTGGGACAAGGTTGTGGATGAGCTTATGACTATTACCTGCTCTTCCCTCTTGGATTTTATTCCACGCCCAGCTTCCTTATCTGCTGCTTTTAGGTCAGATAAATACTCATTGAATAAAGCCTCTCGATCCTCATGCTTTACAGTCGTGTACCTGAGATCATCCCTTAAACTGTCCTTAACCTGCAAACGGCAAAAAAGCGACAGTTGATGTTTGGCATTTGTACAATACCCGCATGTATAAGATCTTAACTAAGAATAAAGGGTTTCACTATCATCGTTGCTTCAGGTGCAGGTCTAACTTACTAAAGCAAGTCTGCAAATAATCAAGATTCAAGAGACATTTATTTCAACCGACTTCTGAGAGTTTACATTAATAGTCAGCTGAGACATGGGGGCTTTTCTAAATATCTTAAGCAATAGAGACCAAAATTTTAAATCTATCGGCAAACATCATTAAATTTTTCTCTCATCTGATTGCACCAGTTTATTTAAAGAAGTACAAAGCCCTTCTTTCAGCAGAAATATTAATTGGATTGCACGAATAAGCAAGAGTCTTCTCCTTAACTAAAAGACTAATGCTGAAGTTATCCCATCTACACGTAGAAGAATCACCCTCATAATAAACTTACTTCTCTTTTTTATTCACATATGCTTAAGAATCAGAATCACAATTATAACATACCCTGGACCAACGTGAATGCACGGTTATATCTCCTCTTTCTCGGAGCATAGACTTGAAAACAACAGCAACTGCCGAAAGCTCAGCCTGAGCTTTTTCTCTTGCTGCCTTCCTCAAGCTAAGGATCCTATTACATAAATGGTAAACAGTGTTGACCTCTACTACCAAGAAAGGAAATAGGGAAAGTGGAGCAGTGAATCCAATAAGAAGATAATTTACCATGCAAAGCAAATAGATTAAAGGAAAAGGACAATGCCAAATTCAACACAATAAGCAGGTCTCTAGCATATGCTCACACGTGTTGCTTCCATGAACAGAATCTATTCTCTGTCCTGGGTAATGGTTTATGTAAGAAAAGAAGCAAATTTCCCAAAACACGGACTTCATTAAGCTTCTGAAAGAAACGTTGCATATGCACTAGACAGTAAACAGGTTTTAAAAATGAAACAGGAACATGGCAAGCATAGAAAAGGGACATAAGACTTAAAACTATTAGTAGGTTTCCTTTCCCATGGGATAAACACCCCTTTAAAGAAGATGATAGCCAATAATAAGTGTGAAACAAGGTTCAGATGAGAGCATTGATTTTACAATTTAAACTTCCAAATGACCCCTCGGAATATAGTTTCCAATGAAACAGAAATTATGGCAGCCTCCGATGTAGAAAACAAAGACGGAACCTAAAGATTTAATCTTTATACCTAATAAGTGAGCATCCAATTAATAAACATAATCATTGGAGGCCGACTGGCTATATAAAGATCGAAGCTGTCAGCAAATGATACCTTTCATTCAACAAATGCTCTCTGTCTTTGCGGTCTAGGGCTTCAAACCTTGGGTCATTTCCCCACTTCTTTCGGAAAGTTTGATAGTCAGTATACTGATCAATGTCCTGAAAATCCTAACATATCAGGTAAACTATCTATTTCGACACAAGTTCAAAGTGAAAAGATTCCAATAGTTAAAGGAGATATGGCACTTTAATTCACTGCCATCAACTGACCTTTGATGCTTCTTCTAGTAACTGCTTAAATCCCTCTACTGCAGCCTTCTGAGCAGCACGTTTCTCCTTGCGCTCCTCCTCGGCGCGTGTTTTCACATAGTGCTCAAACAAGGACCTCCGACCAGAATGACTTGGTATAGCCTGGAAAAGAATGCAACAACTTTAATGGGATATGACACTTTAACACAAAGTAACTTTTTTTATAACTGAAAATTCAAAGAAACAGAAGATTTTGTAAGAGATGAAAAACACAGCAGACTTCCTACAGAAAATGGAAACCTAGGAGCTTCCAACCAATTGGAGATGTAAGTAGCTTCACAATTAGAAATGAATCATGTCATGGTGAGCACACAGAATCCAGAGCCATATACACAGAATTGTTTCCTGACACGCACAGACAAATAGCCAACAGAAATATAGTCTATATCATATGGAACATGAACAGGTTCTTCAGCTAATGCTCCCTGTTATTCAATCAAACAACCTTATCCTAAATTGTCAAGTTAACTAACAATATTCAACCATATTATTGTGAGCTTGTGACTAACAAAATACATCAAGAAAACTCCACATTGCATAAAGTAACAAGACAGCCCCTAGTGGCTGCTTGTACTCTAAGAACACATGGTTCAGAGCAAATATAATGCCTACACCTTGTATATGTAGGAAGAGTTGCTTTAAATTCTCTAAGGTGGTAAGCCATAAGAAGATCCATACCCAAATTACATAGACAGATAAATCCATAAAACATGCTTCAAGGAGGTTCAGTACGCCACAATTATTGAACAAGGTTGATCATGTTACTTAGACTCGGCAAACCTTAAAACGTGGATCAAACACAATCTTTGGCAGCTCCTTCTCCCATTTTGAGAATGGTGCCACCCCTCTTTCCTTGAGCATCTCCTGTCCATTACAAAAAGGAAATAGTATATTATAACTTCTATTGCTGCTTCAGCAACCAAAGCATGAAAGATTAGGGGCATACAGTTTTGTTTTCCTGATTCCCTATATATCGCTGAATCCAGATGAGAAAAGAAAAACATATGCCTTGAATTGTACAATGCACTCCTCCTTTGTTGGCCCATTGTCTTCCTCTGAATCTGAGGACGAATCTAACATGTTATCATCCCCGTTCATATCTTTAAGTTTCTCTTTGCTACTTCCACTCAGCATGCCCTTAGCTGTAGCAGCTTCAACAGCTTTTGAACCATTAGATTCAGATGTTGTTACTCTTGATGAAACTGGAGCAAGGGATGAAGTTACCGGAGATCCCGAGTCTTGCAGCTTCTTTTTTATCAGATCCAATGCAGATGATGTGGCTGGGGCAGTTGGGCCTCTCAAAGCTATGGCATCACAACCATCAGTGTTAATTGCCGGAGTACTTAAACTGACTCTAGTAGATCCTGTATCAGAGGAGACATTAGCCTGCGGGGCTGACGTTGCGTGTTCGTTTAAGACATCATCCTGCTTCTTTCTCAATTCAATCACCTCGTTTGGGACCTGCCAACTGCTTACCTGGTGAGAACATAAATGCGAGTTGTATTACATACCTAACAGACCCTAGAGATAAGGATTAAGGACTTACTACCTACTTTCACTAACATGATCACACACAATTCACATAATGCATGCACACTACATGTACATGTAAATGTAGGACCCTCTGTAGAACCCTACATAGTAAACACAGAACAAAAATAGGACCTGATACAGCAGGTGGTAATAAAGATGTTAAGTTACAAACAGTGGCAATGTCTATATGATATCAGAAAGTTCATTAACACTTCCAACCATTAAAATTATAGACCTATCCAAACTGGCCACCTTTTCATCCTGAAAGTCAACTTACAAGCGGAAGGTTGCCGAATGGTCTATTTCTAACTCGCTATAACAGTTCAATATCTCCTGTTTTCTTGAATCGGATGCATGGAGGGAAGTCCCCATCACAGTTTGAAATGCTTATATATAATCCCACCTTTGTTATGTTGTTGTAGTAATACTTCTTTCCATCATTTGTGGTGACCAAGGCCCAATGTGTTCCAGCTAAATTTTCCCTGCAAATAAGAAGGTATGAAACTCCAAAATCATGGTCAAGAGTCAACCCCAAAACTCGGAAGATAATGAGATTTATAAATCAGTCAAAACAATATAACCAAGCCAAAACATGAAAGGCAAGAGTTTAGGTGAGATGTTGATGAAAAAATAAAATGCTAGTGTGTTGTGACCCCAGAAACAAAAAAGGTATGAAGCTCTACAAATCATTATTTATAGTCCAGTGAAAATCAGAAGATAATGAAACTATAAATCAGCCAAAATAAACGCGGGAGTTTCAGGGATATGCTGACGCAAAGGAAAAACAATACTGGTTTGATTCTTCACTTGAAAAGTTGAGAAGAAGTATCAGACGTCTCGAATTTGAATGAGAAGAACACATTAAAGTTTAACCATATTGTTACCATGCTCACAGCCATAGCAATGTCAACACTAGAAAGAAGTCACTTTGGTGGTGATTGGTTAATTTCGTTAATGACTCAAAAATGGAAGCAATGCTATCTCCCTAAAACAAGAAGTTGTCTGCCTCCATCATTAAAGTTTTGATGCCATAAATAACCAAAGACTCATATATCTCAGTTGAAGACAACTAAAATAAGTGATAACAAAATAAGTAGGTAAGCAACTTACATTGATACCGGAAGTGGCTGACCCACAACTCGCTCTGGCTGCATCCATATAGGCAGACGGAAGAACAAATCACCATCAAAATTCAGGCAAGAAGGCTAATATAGACTGTTAAATCCCACTACCCATTGTTCTTTGCTGTCTTACGGAGATTGTTTTAATATAAAGAGAATTTCAGTTGAATGGTATAACCGTGATAACTTTTACTAAACATACCTCTGATTTAAAACCAGGAGGTTTTTCGTAAGTGGATACTCTTGACACAGCATTGTAATAGTACATAATTCCGGTGTCAGTCTTGTGGGCAGTCCAAACATCTGATGCTTCATTAGCAGTAGCATTGCCCTTGACGTCAGGGTCTAGGGAATGGCTCTTGCTCTCTGCAAAAGATTATGCAACACTAAGGATGAAAAAGCTCAATCCAAACTACTCCAATGAAAAATAATCAATTCCTTACATTGGAATCCTAGCATGGAACCCTGAGCATACCAATTCCTGGAGGAGTTAATCCCGTCTGGATCCCTGCAGGCCGCACAAACTGCTGGCCTGAAGCCGTCGGCGGAGTTGCAGGAGGAGGAACCATATGAGGATTCACACCCATACTTTGAACTGGTAAAACGCCAGGAAAAGGGCAGGGGTTTAAGTTCGGGTTTCCAGGTCCTGGCAAAGGAAAATGACCAGTGTGCATAACGGCAGGCGGAGCATACGGCAGAAACAGTGGTTGTGGCCGCATCATGTCAGGAACTTGTTGCTGCATTGGCTGCAACCAAATACCTGGTGGCGGAGGAGCCGCTGCGACAGCAGCCATAGGAGGAGATTGGAAAGAGGGAAACCCAGGATACGTTTGCTGAGTAGTTACAGTTCCAGGAGGCCGCAGGTCAGCGGCGGCGGGACTATGATGAACTATGGATGACACCACAGGGTCAATAGAGCTAGGTGGAAAAGACATTGATTCGTTAGCCCCGGGATTTCCAGGTACCAAGTCAGACAAAGAAGAAGAAGAAGAAGAAGAAGAAGAAGAAGGAGTGGTAGAAAGTGGCAGCGCCTGGGAAGTCAGCGAAGAAAAGGTTGTAGAAGAAGAAATATTCATCGTATAATCTGTCGAAGAGGAACCAAGAGGCGTCGCTTGAGCCGGCGGCAACGGAGATCAATCGACTGGTGACCCCGACGAAAGAAATAGACTTTTATGCCCTGTTCACTTCCCATTTCATTTTCTGTTTTCTGTTTAAAAAATGAAAATCAGGAAACAAATGACATTTAAATGTGTTCACTTGACCATTCCATTTTCCATGAAAAAACCCAATTATTACAAATGGGAAAGCTTTGAGAAAACGATTTATACCTGTTTTCCGAAATCAATGACATGGGTTATGCCCCGTTTCCCAGCGGAAAACGCGCTAATCCATTCCAATTGGCCCGCGTTCGATTCACCATAGCGCTATTTTTTTAACCTTTTTCCTCTTGCTTCCTACGCTGCCGTTTTGCCCTCTTCAATCAACCCTAGAGACTAAAACTCGGTCGGCCGCTCTCTTCCTCTTCTCCCTCCAGCCCACTTCCTCCGCTCATCTCCCTCACTCCCTCCAGCCCCGCCGCTCATCTCCCTCACTCCCCTCCAGCCCCGCCGCCAGCCCACCGCCGCCATCTCCTTCACTCCCCTCCAGCCCCGCCGCCAGCCCACCGCCGCCATCTCCTTCACTCCCCTCCAGCCCCGCCGTCAGCCCACCGCCGCCATCTCCCTCACTCCCCTCCAGCCCGCCGCCAGCCCACTTCGGCCATCTCCCTCACTCCCGTAAGAAGTAGAAGCAGCAGCCGGCGCCGATTCCAGCCGCCGATTCCTCCAACAGAGAGCTCCAGCCGCCGATTCCAGGTACTTACTCTCCTTGCCAGCGACCAATCCATGCTTGCTTGTGATGATGAATTGGAGTGGTTTGGTAATGTTTTGTGAACAATGGACAGATTTGTTGCTTTATTGTTTTGATTGCAAATGATGTCTTCTTTTATTTTGTTCGATGTCAATTTGTTGATGATATCTTATTTCGTATTATTTCGTATTGAATTGTAGCGTGATAAGCGATGGCTGATATTGATGTCGTAAACAATAATGATTGTGTCATACTTGAGGGAGCCGAGGTTTGGCCTGATAAAGTAGTCGAGTATTTTATTGCTTTGATGCTCGAGGAAGTAAAGAAGGGGAACAAACATACGACAACTTTCACTAAATTGGGATGGTCCAACATTGTAAATGGGTTGAAGATAAAGTTCAACAAGGACTATGCCCCAGATCAGTTGAAGAATAAATTTAATTTGATGAGGAGGAAACACCGGGAATTCAAGGACTTAATAAGCCAGACGGGAATTAGTTACTCTTCTGTAACAGGGAGGATTGCTGCCTCTGATGAGCAGTGGAAGGTGTGGAACGAGGTAATTGACATTTTTAGTCATTGTGATTGAATTGAAAGTAATATTTAGGAAAGAGGAATTGATTAGAATGTTGCATTTGCAGCGATACAAGATGATGGGGACTATTAGGAAGCATGGATGTCCAGAGTATGAAAACATGTGCATATTATTTGGTGATACAACTGCCTCTGGTGCGAATGCTGTTGCTTCTACTCACGAGGTCTCAGATAGTAGTGGTGGACCTAGCAAAGCAAATGATGTGGATCTTGATGGTGAAGAAAATGTGGGTGGAGTCTCTGGTTGTGCCAAGGAGACGTTGCCCAAAGTGAAGGGTAAAGGAAAGAAGAGAAAAGCAGCTAAATCTGGCTTTACCAATGCAGTGGAGAATGCCATAATCAGCATGGCTGAAGACTCCAAAAGGAAGAGTGAGAGGCGTGAAGCCAAGGAGGCCGCCTCTTCGGTTGGAGGACCTGTGCATGATGTATCTTCGCAGGATAAAGAGCTTGACATTATGACTGAATGCATGAATTTATTAGATGAAATGGAGGTGGAGGCTAATGTATTTGTGAAGGCTTTCGATGTTCTACATGATTGTCCACTGAAGAGAGGACTTTTCTTGCGTATGACAGAGAGGAGAAGGAAAGAATGGTTGTTGAGTTTAGTGTGACTATGGTTGTTTGTTGAGAACTGCAGTGACATTTGTTTGTTGAGTGTTTGATGAGTTCTTATGGTGATGTTTTATGAATAGCATGATGTTTGATGACTTATAATATTATGTTTGAGTGTAAGAATCTTATGAACTAAGTTGTAATTGAATGTTTGAGTGTTATATCACTTGTATTTGGGTTATTATCCATTTCTAATGAAGTTCTTATGCATTGCAGAACTTATGAATTTAGATTCAGATTCAGATTCCGATTCCGATGAAGAGTTGAAATTCATAATGCTTGTGGCTTTGTTGGAGAATGAGCGATCTAAGTCTATTAGGATGCCATGTAGAACCTCAGTGCAAACAGGACATGCTTGGGTTCAAGAACTTCTCCGTGGGCATCCGATTAGGATATATGAATCACTCCGAATGGATAAAGAAATTTTCTTTGCTTTGTGTGAGGAATTGAAGCAACATGGTGGGTTGAATGATACAACTAATGTGATGGTCGTAGAACAAGTTGCAATCTTCCTCAAGACTATAGGTCACGCAAATGACTTCCACGACCTTGCAGAACGGTTTCAACATTCTACTGCAACCATCTCAAAGTACTTTAATCTAGTGTTGAAAGCAGTGGTGAAACTTGCAAACAGGGTCATTGTTCCCCCAAATTTGGAAGTTGTTCCCGAAAGAATAATTGATTCAAAACATGATCCATATTTCAAGGTAAGCAATTCTCTTTATGATTGAGGATTAATATTCGAATGTACTTTAATTATGACACTTACTCACATTGTTTCAGGATTGCATCGGAGCAATAGACGGAGTTCATATTGACGCAGTGGTTCCGAGTGGTGAGCAGATTCCATATCGAGGACGGAAGACGACTACTACTCAGAATGTAATGGCTGTTTGTTCTTTCGATATGCTCTTTACCTTTGTGATGGCTGGATGGGAGGGTACAGCAAATGATGCAAGAATTCTTACTGAAACCGTTTCCAACCCATCTAACAACTTTCCCATGCCACCGCGAGGTACGAAATGATTGTCTCTTTATTTTAGTAATTATAGTAAACATTTCATATGACTAATTGATTTTATATCTTATAGGTAAGTATTATGTTGTTGATTCTGGATATGCAAACATTCCTGGGTTTCTAGCGCCATATAAGACAAAAGAAGCACGTCATTTTCAAGATATCGATCGTGGAGGTGGACCAAGGACTCGTAAACAACTTTTTAACTATTATCATTCATCTCTACGCAATGTTATCGAGCGTTGTTTTGGAGTTTTGAAGGCTAGATTTCCCATTTTGAAGCATATGCCTCCTTTCGCTCTCAAGAAACAAGCACACATTGTTCTTGCATGTTGTGTTATACATAACTTTATTAGGATCCACTCTGGTGACGACACTCTGTTTGAAGGTGCTCAAAATTATTGCACGGGGGAGAATGCCAATGGAGTGCAAGGAGGACAAGAACGAGAAGCATATAATCATAGTTCAAGCCAAACTCGAGCGATGGATGCACGACGAGATGGAATAGCAAACAAGTTGTGGGATGACTTTCAAGCTGGACTTATTTGAATTTTTATGTTGTACTAGTACTTAATTAATATAAGATGTTGTACTTGTATTGTGTTTATTAGTTTAAAAACTATTTAATTCGAATTAAAAATTATAATCATGGCTAGGGTTGTATGATAATCAAGAATCAGAAAACAGAATGAAGCAACTAAACAGGATTTCTTTTCAGAACTCAGTTTCAGAACTCACCAAAATTCTCAGTTAAACAAGGTTTTTTCAGGTTTTGTTTTCCAGGAAATGGTCAGCTTCGTTTTCATTTTGATTTTGTTTTCTGTTGTGGCAGCTAACAGAAATGGAATGGCAAGTAAACGGCCCATTAGTTAGCAGAGATGTGTATGTAAGATTAGTTTCGCCGTGGGAGACTGTAGCTGCCCCTCGCAAGAGTAATGAATGTAGCGGCGCGAACACTGGCGTAGCTAGGATTTCGTTTAAGGTGGGTTCACCTAAAAAAAATACACATGATAAAATAAGTTTGGACTTTGCTACGGTGACATGCATGTCATAGTGACATGCACTTTTCGGTCGACTTCATGTAGGATTAGGTCGACCTAATCTATTGTTTCAGTGTAAAAACAGTTTCATGATGCCTACTTTGGAGAATCATATCTTACAATTGGCTAGATTGAAATTGGAGATTAATGTCTTGTTTTGAAACTGAAGTGTCCCACTACACATTAAAGTACTTGGTAGGTCGATAGGAAGTCCAGAAGACCATTTTTAAACTTGATCAAAAGGCTATGCCAAAACTGGGAAACTGCCTGAAAATGGCCAAGTCTGGGAACGTGTTTGTGAAGCCTACTTTGGAGTTCAATTTGAGAAGCATGAATGCGATTCGAGTCCATGAGCCTCTACCACATTAAATTAGATATGATTTTCTACAAAGGCAAGACATTGGATGAAAGATTGGATATTTTTACGTCTTCAAACAAAAGGCTCGGAGTTGCTACAAAGGCTGTTTTTCTGACAACTTGCGTGTGCTCGAAGTCTGCCAGAAAAACAACCTTCGTAGCAACTTCAACCCTTTTGTTTGAAGCCTTATAGATATCCAATATTTCATCCAATGCCTTGAATTAGTATATAAACATACCTAATTTAATGTGGTAGATGCCCCTGGACTCGACTCACATTCATGGATCTCGAATAGAGCTCCAAAGTAGGCATCACAAACACGTTTCCAGACTTGGCCATTTTCAGTCATTTTCCCAGTTTTTGCATAGCCTTTTGATCAGGTTCAAAAATGGTCTTTTAGACTTCCTATCGAGCTCTTAATCACTTCAATATGTAGAGGGACACTCCAGCTTCAAAACAAGCCATTAATCTTGAATTTCCATCTAGCCAATTGTATGATATGAATCTCCAAAGTAGGCACCATGAAACTGTTTTTACACTGAAACAACAGATTAGGTCGACCTAATCCTAAATGAGGTCGACCTAAGCCTAACTAAGGTCGACCTAATCCTAAATGAGGTCGACCTAATCCTCAATGAGGTTGACCTAAGTCTAATTGAGGTCGAC